GACAACCACTAATGAATAAAGCATCCAAATCATTCAAAAGAATCTGCAATTTCTTCTAGACGAGATGAAAACACCATTTTATGCTCATTTTGTGTCTATTTTGTACCACAGTCTGAAGTTACAAAAAAAAAAAAAAACCAAAAAGCCAGAGATCCAAGAAAGAGAGTTCACTATAATCCCACAGAATTGAAATCTACCTTTATTTGAAAATATCTTTTTCTATCATTCCCCAAAGGCACCAACAGATTTCCTTGGAACATGAACCGCAGGCCAGAATTAGGGAATTATGTTTTGCCTTGAACCTCACAAAGTAAGTGTGAGGAACAAATTTTATCAAAGAAAAAATCCCTACCCACAGAGTGTTGCCACACACACTATGCAGGAGTGTTGAGTGGACACTGAGGAAGAAGAGAGGGATAAAAGAGCTAAGGATAAGTCACTCTCCTTGGGTGTGTTCCACTTCCTGGAAGACAAAAAACCTTTAAAAATCCCCAATTTTCCTTTTAATTTTTAACCTTGCAATTTCATTAAATACTTCTGCAACCCATAGAAGTGCTTCAAATTCAAAACATGTCAAATACTCACCTAGTGACACAAAGGCCATATTTGCATGAACAAATCTAAATTCAACTGTAACTATCAACTGCTACCACATTAAAAATAATAACTCCTCTGCACTCAGTATTTTTTTATATATTAAGGAAGGTACCACATGATCACATTCCTCCTGGCAGCACAATAATAGCTGCAGAAGTCAACTGAGTGCATTTCTTTTATGATTTTTAATAACACAAGTGAAGTTGTAAGGTGTGAAACAATCCATTTTTGATTATTTTATGGACAGTAGAGTCCATAAGATGACATCAGGTTTGTCAGGAATATTTTCTTTTCATTTGGATGCTATTCTTAGGAGTGTCTGTATTTTAAAACTCTTGAGGAACTTAAGAAAGGGTTTTTGTCTTGAGATAGCTACTGGCCAAACGGCCTCATGAATTTAGGATATTAATTTTTATGGAGATAGCAAAAAGACTCCAAGACAGATTTAATTGATCTTATTTAGGACCCACCAACTTTACTCTGTGTTGGATTAATATAACAACCAGTTCCTGTGAAGTACATAAAGCTATTTTTAATTTGGATTAAAATGCAAGAGTTGACTATTTCAACTCTAGTGATGTAATTTTTCTCACACAGTCACCCTCATTTGTTCACATCATAACCCCTATTTTATCACTAAATATTGTCTCAGTAGTTCTATTCACTCCTAAAACATCACCTCCTCTACTCCTTTGCTTTCCTAAATACTGAAAACAGCCTCTACCCACCCACAACACTTGACACAACATTTTGATTTCCTCTGGCCGATCATCTCCGATCATTTAGTATTGCCCACCTCCCACCTACTGTACACACCTTCTTCTTGTGTGACCAACACAACACCCCAAGCATTTTCCTGAAACTTTCATGGTCCCTTATTCTTTTATGTCTGTTTTCAACGTCAAATCCTACCATCTCCACACTGAAATTCCACACGCCTGAAGGTAATTTTTCTACTGTCTGTCTCTTTCCTTTTGTTCTTAGTGTTCAGATGGCTAGAGGGAGTAGGAAGATAAAAGTTTTACTTCAGTTTATTTCTTCTCTTGGCAAACAAACAGTTCTGTGTTCCTGGAAGTCATTTGAGTGTTCCAGAAGCACCCTGCAGCTCATGTTCTTTTTGGTAGGCAACTTATCTTTTACCTGAATTACCTTCCACCTGTTTCAGGATACCTGCTAAACATTCTGTGCTTACTCTGCAGCAAACTCACAGATGTGAACAAGAGCTCCTAACCAGACACCTGGCACCACAGAAAGCTTCAGCAGAAGTATCTTCAACTCAGTAACAATCAGCTTAAAGAATATTTTCTGGTTTTGAACAGAACTGCTCCTGCTTACCTTAACCTTCCAACCTTTCCCTGACTCCTGAAGAAACTCAAATGGAGTTATCTAGTGTTCTCCTGAAATGTTATATATCATTAAAAAAAATCAAATCGTTCAAATATTAGAGCCAAAGGAAGATCATAATTTCACATATGATCTGAGCAAGCACTGCTGCTAAAAGCAGCCAACCTATTCATCCCTTTCTCCCTTTGTTATTTATTCCTGGGACTACATCCTCCTTTAAATGCTTCTGCTGGAAAGCTATTTACCCCAGCGCTTGAGCTCACAAGTGCAGCCAGCCACTTTATCGTCCACAGAACAATAAAATGCTCTCTGGGCTCTGCTTTTTTCAATACTGCAGTATCTACACCATCAAGTCTGGACATGCTCTCACCTTTCTGAATGCCCCAGAAAGGAGAAAAAGTTCAACCAACTATGCTCTGCACCTTGTTACAAGGTTCTACTCAAGATTAAATATTAACAGTGAACTTTTCTGCATATTAATAAAAGTTGAAACTTAAATCCACTTTATTTGAAACCTTTCCAGAAAGTGTAAGAATTTCTTCATTGTACATTTTCATCTTTTTAAAATGTTTAGAATTCAACAGAAAGCTTCTTATTAAGAAGTGCACTTTACATTCTAGGTTTTGACAAGAGATTATTAAAATTAAATATATTTTTAAAATTCTAATCTCCAAGCAAGGGACTGTAACTGACTGGATTGACAGAAATATCTATTACAATATTAGTAATTAAAAAACAAAAGTGAGGTTGACCTGAAAGATCTCTAAGTAACAATTTCACAATCTTAGCAAGGTCTTAAAATTTTTATATAGCTGTTCACATGAAAAATCAAGATAAAATGAGAAAAAATATTAAAAGCTAAATTTAGAGAGTATATGATCTCCATTTTCTACAAGCATTTGTTCAAGAGATTTTAGTCTTAACTTTAGTATAGTGATTATTTAAAATCATTACTGGCATGTACCATGTTTAGCCTTTAATTAAAACAAAAAGCAAAGAATATTGGAAAATGCCTTCTTTTTTATGACCATCTTTATTCATAGAGTCATGGCACAAGACATCGCAGTGTGCTGTGTGCATGCAGAGTACACAGGAATCAGATGCAGTGCATTCTTATACAAGAAAAATGCAATGTATAGTGATTTTGAAATCAATTAAAGAGTATTCTGTGGGCATACAAGGAAAAAGAAAAAGAAAAAAAATTTAAAAAAGGAGGAAAGTAAAAAGAAACTATATAGCCAGGTAGCTATCACACTTAACATCATAAAAAGAAAGCTTTCTTCCAAGGCTAAGACAAGACATTGTAAACTCAAGGGGTTTTTTTCCATCATCATAATTAGTACCCTGAAAAGAAAAAGAAAAAAAAAAAGAATGAAGAGATTTATTTAGAAAAACTGCAAATGACTCATTGAACCTGCATATCCTCCAGGATAAAGAACTTCTCGGCACAGAACTCTAAATGTGGTTTCCATGAGAACAGAGGCGCATCATATTTTTAATGTCTTCTCTTAGGAAGTAATCTACATTTAAAATATGGAAACTAGCATTAGGGAGCTAAACCAAAGTTAAACTTAGGCTCCTACTCCAGTGGAATACTTTTTCTCTGTAATAAGATAAAGCCATTTTGTAATAGTACCAAGAGGACAGTATCCATGCTATTCCTAATTGTACTGCATTCGCTACATTCTGGAACACTTGTATTCTTCTCAAAAACACCAATATTGGGAAAAAAAAAATCAATAATTTAAACTTTACCCTACGAAACAAGTCTCAGAAATCAATCTGGCTATACAACTCACACATCCAGCAATGAAAAGAACACCAACAGCTGTATTACACTACACTTATCCACAAGTTCCAAAGATCACATCTGAGCTAATTCTTGCTCTGAACAGCAAAGCAATCCCAAACATCAGTGGAACAGAAAAATTCCTTTGGAGAAAATAGCATCTTTACTATTCAGAAGTTGTACTTGATACAAAGAGGGGACTGACATTCCAAATCTGTGTCTATTCCACTCCCCTTCAGGAATCAGATCTAAGTTCAAAGAGCACCTGACCGTGGGTTTTCTTGCAAGCTTGGTGTCACCTGAGATATGTAAGGGAGTTTGGCTTGTAAGACTAACCACACCTGCCTGCTCCAGCCTGTGTTAATCCCAGGGTTCTGACTCGTATTGCACGAGCTAAAATCCAATACTTACCTACAACTAAGAATCAAGGAAGAATTTTCCACAGTAGTGAGTGAGATTTTTTTACAGTATTGACAGAACAGTGCCAGAAAACTGTAGAATAACTTGGTAAAATGATCACAATTCCTGGTAGGTCAGACATCCAAATCAAAAATGGTACATGGAAAGCCTATTCTGAATGCTATGGGCTAATCCTCAGACAACAAACAGACAACAGTAGGCCAAAGGCCTTCAAACAGACAAAACAAAACAAAAAATTCCACCCCCTGAGAAAAAAAAACCCTAACCAGTGAGAAATATACTGAGGCATGTCAGCTTTGGAAAGGGCATGCAAATACACTGGGTTCATGAGCTGCAGCAATCCCCAACTGAACCAGGAGATATTTTAATAAGCTCTAGATATAAGTGAGGGAAACCAAGTCACATATTAAGCAGACAGAGGATGAGGAATTTCCCCATACGAGTCTGTCTGAGATTTTTTTTTTGTTTGTTTTCTTTATAAACAGGCATTTAATACCTGCCATTTCAAAGCCTAATTTCATGCTGTCCTCTTTAGCAGCACAGCACTCTCAAGGCAAATGACTTCTGACCAGAAGAAAATACCTTTGAAAAACATCTTCTAACTTGCTGGCAGAGCATGGGTGCCTCAGCAATGCCTTTTGAAGCACACAGCAAGATGGACACCCGTCATCTGCTGCTGCTATTGGAAGACATCCAAACAATGGTTTGGTAAAAATACTATTACTCCTAATAGAAAAATACTGGTGATCTTTTGTTCCAAGGCAGTTGTATTAAGAATTAATTGAGTAAATTAACAGCAGAAATATAATAGTATTATCGATGGAAACTGTAAATGTTCGTTTATCCTTACCTTCTTCTGCCTCATCCTCCTGGGATGACATAGGCCCTCCTCCACTTGTTGGGGTGACTAATTCTTCCTCTCTGGCAGATTCTCTTTGCAGACTGACAACTTCATAAATTGCGTCTCCAGCACTTGTGTGGCTTTTTCCTTCAGACTAAACCAAAATATGGGTATGTATTAGGCTGAAAAATAAGGCTATGAAAGGCTAAACAATAGTTTGGTCAGGACTGCCTCAGATTGCTTTACCTAGGCACAAATAGATGGCAGTATCTGACAGCTCTGGTTCTCTCAGTTTTACAGATAGAAAATAAAAATAAAACTGCATTATGTCCAAAGCTGCCCCTTACCAACCATTTTCAGTATTGTTCAGAACGATGATAAAAAAAGCTTTCCAATTTAAACAGTTATAATGAGATTAAGTCGAAGAGAAATCTCAGCTAATGAAAATAGGAGAGAACAAAGAAGAAAAATATTGGACTAACTGAAACAGGAACTGAATGCCTGAGGAGGAGAAAAAATAATGGTAAGATTTTTTTGGTAGGTAAAGACAAGACTAAAGAAGAAACAAGACGTCACCCTTTTGAAAAGCCTTAAATTGTGAAAAACTCATTTTAGTCCTTTACTCACTAAAAAAACAGGAAAATTTCTCTTTCTTCCACAGAATATAATTTAAAATACACTCCTTCCAATGGAGAAATGTAATGGAACCTCATGGAAGGGGAGTTGGAACTAGATTATCTTGAAGGTCCCTGTGAACCCAAACCATCCTATTCTTCTATGACTTCCTTATGAAAAGAAGTCAGTCAACTATAGCAGTTAACTGTAGTTTAAGCAGTTGCAAGTTTTAAAATAAAAAGAGGATTAGTTTTTCCTCTGAGTTACAGTTATGAACAGTACATATATATATATACATACATATATATACAGTTATTTTTCAGTGACATGCAGTGATTACTATATTTTTAGAGAATTGTATAGAACTGCAAATTAATGATGGTATTAAATAAAGCAGCCCAAAATGTTGTGCTATTTTGTTCTTTGTGCATCTTGCCTAATCAGTTAAAATAAGGTCATTTTTGGAACATACTAAAATAATCAAATTAACCATGAAAAAGAACACGGTTTCAGTTACAGTACCCTCAACTTGTCTGAAAAACAAATATGATGATAAGTTGAAAGGCTCCACGATACCTGCACTGGAGATATACATGAATTACTGACCAACACTTGCAATTTCAACCAGCTGGTGAAATTATGCAGATGAGCACCTTAAACAGGGACTGTTTGGACTGACACAATATAAATTATTTTATAGTGAGAAACCTTTCCTCATTTATTTTTGATTAATAATTCAGACCCACTTCCCTTAAAGCAGAGGCTCCAATTAACAGCCAGTTTTACTGACTGAATTTCTCATGAAGTCAGTTTAATGAATTTTGGGGTGTAGGCATAAATGGCCTGCGTCTCATAAAATTAAGTAGGATTAACATCAGAGCTGTTATCCTTGGTTTATTCTCACATAACACCATTATGTAATTACAAAGCACTTGGTTAAATCAATCAAGTATTGATGCCACTTATGTTATTAACCATTGTTTTCTATAACTTTTATTTTTTAGAGAGTAAAGCATGAGATACTGCAGGTTTTGCTGTATGTTAAAATAATTACAGGTTTTCAGCTCCTTACACATGTTCTGGTTAACTGCAAGACCCACCTGTATAAAACGTAAAAAATTCAATTATTGGTTTTCTCTGAAGCACGAACCCAAACCCACCACTACAAGGACCATGTTCTAACAATGAAAATGTGCATGAGCAATACAGTTAAGATAGCTACAAAGAACAATCCTGAATTACACATTAACCTCCCTTTCTGTCAGCTTTTTTTTATCATTCTTTATATCCAGCCACACCTTACCCATCTCAGTTCACACTATTAAATGTGTCTGAATCCTTCCTCAGAAGGGTTATGATTTTTCTAGAATCAACTTAATGCCCAACTGCTTTCCCAAGAAATTCACAAATGGATGATTCCACTGTTATCTGCAGAGTTATTTCCCAAGGAGCAACAGTGCCCTGGGCTACAGGATCTTTCAAAGGTGTTGGCAGGAACAGCTACTGCAATGCAACTGTCCAACTGAGAACTGGTGAAATAAAGTCTTGATACAAGTCACCCAAAGAGATCCTGGCAGCCACAATCAGGACCTCATCTTGCAGAAAGATTACTAGGACTAAAAATATTCCTTTTCTAAAGATCTGCAGAGCAAGCTCTGAATTTTGCAGCAGGGAGAAATGCACGTGTTTCTTCAGGGAAGAGAGGCACGTGTATGTTTGTCACATTATAAGGGGTGAGAAAAAGAAAGCATCCATATTACTCAATTAAAAATGGTATAGTTGCAAGTGATTTAAAAGGCAAGCTGAACTGATTAGAGTTAAGTATCAAACTGTTGAGAGCAGAATACTTTTAAATGTATTTTCTTTAATGTCAAAATGCAGATATTCTTATTTGCATGTAACAGTAGGCTTTCTCAGATTTTCTTAAATTACAAGTTGCCATGCTAATCTCTAGAAGAAATACAGAAACAACACTGCTTGAGATTTATTTACTCCCTAAGTGTTAAACACAGTAGCAATTTTCCCTTGTAACATCAACACAACTTGGTTTTTTCAGACCTATTGCTGCACCTCACAAAAAGATTATAATTCGAAAGTCCCGTTAGGCTCAGTGAATCACTGCTCTTTGGTTCCTTTAGTCAAAGATGATGCACCACTGTTCCAATGCCCACAGTACAAGTGGCCTCTGCTCTTCACTTTTTGAGCCAATACCAAGACACAAGTCTTTGGAGAAAGCAGGTCAGCAGTGGCTGCAGGAGGATGCAGCTGCACATCATTCTACAGTGACCCTGAGCAGATGTATCTCTTGTACGTACCTCAGCCAATGCCAAAACCAGAAGGGACTTGAGCTACAGTCATAACAGCCTCACTCTCTTAAACCTCTTCATTAGGCTCCTTTGTCTTAAATGGGCCACATTCTTACAGTCATCTGCCTTCATATTGTGAATGTCAGTAGCCCTTTGATTTTAAAATGAACAAAGTAATTTCCCAGTTTTATCAGTCAAATGGACCTGCTTTAGGGGTTAGATTGTAGAGAATTGAAGAGAATTCAATAAGCAGGTAAAAATAGTTTAAGCCCACAAAACCAATGACTTACAACTCATTACAATTCAGTTTACAAAGTGTGCTGGGTTTGGCTGGGTTAGAGTTCCTTCCTTCAACAGTGACTGGTGTGAGGCTGTGCTTTGGGCTTCTGCTGGAAATGGTGTTGATAACACAGCGGAGTTTCAGCTTCTGCCCAGCAGCTGCTAACACAGAGTTAGGGTCTTTGCTACTCTTCATCCCACCCCACCAGCAAAAAGGCTGCAGGTGCACAGAAAGCTGGGAGGGGACACAGCCAGGACAGCTAACCCCAGCTGACCTAAGGGATGCTCCAGACCATAGGGCATCATGCCTGGCATGTAAAGTGAGGGAAAGAAGGAAGAAGGGGGAATGTTTGGAATGATGGCATCTGTCTTCCCAAGCCAGTGTTACACTGTTCCCCAAGGGATGGCTGAGCACCTGCCTGCCCATGGGAAGTGGTGAATGAATTCCCCGCTTTGCTCTGCTTGAGCACACAGATTTTGCTTTCCCTACTGAACTGTCTCCATCTCAACCCACGAGTTTTCTCACTTTGACTCTGCTGATTCTCTCCTCCATCCCACCGTGGGGGAGTGAGCAAGCGGCTGTGTGGGCCTTACTTGCCAGTTAGGGTTAAACCATGACACAAAGGCACTAAAACTATACACATGTACTTAATCCTTATGCATTAGAGCGTCCCTGAAATAAACAGTTAAAAGAAACAAACTGCTGAGGAGCAGGTGCTATACTAACTTTTATAAAGGCCAAATTAGGACACATGAGACAAATGTTCTAAATAAAAAAACCAAAGGCATTACCTGCTTTAGCTTCATATAAAAAGTTTCTGTGAAGGTTTTCCTGCTAAAGTACCAGAAGCGTTCATTGGCAGGATACACACGCACAACGGTCTCCAGCAAAAACCGGACTGGCTCCACTACTTCAGTAACAACCATATCCACAGCCACAGTCATGAACACACGCTTATCTGAAACACAGAAATGAGAAAAATTAGTCAGAGTTCAAATTTATAAACTGCTGTTCAAACTGAAAATCCTTTCTGTTTCACTAATGACCCTATTGCACCTGCTTTAGTTGCCTGAGTTCTACACCCTCCAAGCCTGTTGCACAGAATAAAAGAGTGCATTAAGCACTGTACCAAGGAACTCTGACAACTTCAAAAACAAAGATATTATGTCCTTGTTTTAAAGACAGGAAAGACATCACACAAAGAAAACACCATTAAGGTACACAATTCCCATCAAATAAAAGGAGCATGCAGAGGATAAGGTCACACTGTGAAGTGTAAGGAGTTCTCTTACATGCTACTAGAAATAATGTGGTTTGAAAATCCATCAGCAGGAACAGTGACACTGGCTGTAGGTACTTGGATATGCCTTAAAGCAAAATGACATGAGCTCTGCCACAGGGCAGAAAACAAACTCCAGATTTACATTCCAAGTTTTTTAATCCCATCAGAGAACATAAGTTCCAGCAATAAGAAACTCTGCTACACAATCAAGTACTTGAATGAATCATGGCCAGCTGCCCTGAGATGCAGGAGATGAAATGCTATTTGTAATCAACTCACAGCTAGAAGGAGGAGAACCCCAATACCCGACATTCATAATGCTTTTCTGAGTACAAAAACTTTCAAATGTTTAGAAGCAAAAAAAAATCCTGATAACCAGGGACAGCAGGCACATCAGCCTTAAACACTAATGTAACATCTCCAAATCAGCACCACACTGTTCTATGAACAATTATTCACAACTCAGTGTTGCGCATGTTTATACAGAAAAATTCCTAGCAATGGACTCTTGGAATATAATGTTTCATGTACTTAGACATGCACCATGATTGCCAAGAGAAAGTGCATACACCAAACCTCTGCTGGGTAAGACAAATACACAGATTAGGTTCCACTACCTTTTGGAGTTTCCTCATTAAGTACTAGAAACATGGGTGCATTAGGGTTCCACATTCCAGTAATGACATAAGCCTTCCCATCAGAACTCTTTCCCATGGATTCCTAAAAATAAAATCATACAGGATTGTATTACAGTCATGGTTTGAAATCTAAGAGATGAGGCATGGGGATGAGAAATAGTTCTAAGAACCTTAAAGAAAATGAATTAATGGAATGAACTATTACTAGTATGAGGCAAGCACATGCTTCCTGAAGTTTTCTGGAGAGTCCCTATGGATCACACAGGCCTGTTTGGTAGCCTCTAGATAGATAAAAGGAGACTGATGTTCCCTCTCTACAATTCAGTTAGAAGAATAAAAATGACTGAGTTCTCCCGATTTAAATATGGAGAAAGTACATAGAAAGGAAATCACAGATGTCTATTTCTGTGCTATAGTCAAGAAACAAACTAACAGTTCATTACATCCAGCAGTTAAATGTACTTGGGAGTGTGAATGTAAATAGAATTCAAGGTGGAGTAAAGACAGGAATTCAAGTACTGTGAAAAGGTGTTGTATAGATTTATAAGAACAACAACACTCCAAAACTCATTATAATTAATTTAGTTTTATAATCAAATAATAAAAAAGGAAAATCTGAACTGATTTCAGCAAATAAAACCAGGAAAAAAATGAGCTGGTAAATAGAATCAGGCCAGTAAATAAGTCTGACAAGAGAACTAAATATTGATAGTTAGAACCAGCAGCATGAGCACAGAAATGAAGTAGGCAAACTGGGATAACTGTAGAGCACCAGAAGATCTAATGGGTTTAACTCTAGCACTTCCTAACTTGAAAATGGCTGTATTCTTCACAGAGAGAAAGTAAATTTGCATTATCACAGAAAGGATCACATTGTTTTGCAGTTCTCTCAGAGGCAACTCTAAGAAATGGAATATTGTAGAAGACAAGTGACTACTTCAGACTCTGGGCAAGAATTTAAAATCAAATGAAATAAAAAAATGCAAAGCTTTCAGACCCTTGTTAAAATAAGAGCACTTCCCTGGCACCGAAATATGAAAGCAATTATTTGCTCTAAATTTTTAGGAAACATGCTTAACACAGTACAGAAATATCAGTTACTTGTAACAACCCAGTTTGCTTCATGAACCGAACAAAAGCCAGATGCCACAGGCTTTGACATGAATTGAAATTTTTTGTCCATCTTATGATTGCAGATATCAAATCCCAGAGTTTAAGAAACAAAAAACCAAACAAAGCAAAAGATATTTTAAGTTCATTTTGCTGTTTGTTTTTTTTTTTTTCAAATCACCTTATCTTATTTAACAGGTTATTAGAGCTAAGTATTACCATGTCTAGTAAATGCATGTCACTGTTCTTCACATTTCGTCCAGGGCTTAGCAACATCCCAAAGCACCTGTGAAGTTTATTTAAAGAAAAAAACAAAAAAAAGGGAAAAAAGGACATGTATTAGCTTTTCACAATACAAGAGCCTTTGCTTGAACATAATGGACAGCCACCTACTGCTTCTAATTATAAGAGTACCTTTCAGAGAAGTTGTTTGTTATTGTTATGGCAACGCTCAGGAAACAACACAATACATGTTACAGAAAAGACAATGAAATTATTTTCCAGAATGAAGATGGCAGAAATCAGCATCTGGCCTGTGAAAACTCAATTATTCCTACAGACCATTTCTAATATCAGGTTCAAAGATACCAACAATTCCTATGCATTAGTGATGGAGACTGGCAGGAAAAAATTCATTCTCCCCTCAGCTTATTTTAAAAATTGTTCTCATGCAATCATAGGAAAAAATACAGATACATTCATTCTATAATTCATAATAGCATTGCTGCAAAAAAATCACATAGCATCATGGACCCTTAAAAAAAAAACCAAAAAATAACAATTTGCTCAGTTTTAAGATTTCATTCTTCTTTTTTTAAATTCCCAATTTGTGTGATATACAGGGCCTTGAATTCCAGAATTCCAGTCCAAACATTTAACAAGAAAATGCTCTTGATATTTTTAAGAGAAAAAAAAACAAAACCCCAAAATTTTCTCAGACATTCAGATTTTCAAACCTCCTGACTACTGAAGGTACAAATCCGGATCTGAGGATTCATCAAATCATCTATATCTTTCTCTCCTTTGAACATACTCCATCATGAATAAAAATACCAAACAGAATTATGTATTTGCATCAAACAGCAAGCTGTCTTTCACAGGTTTTTAAAACACCTTATATCTCAAATGAAAAAAGAAAAAAAATTGAAAGTAATTGCTATTTGAAATACTATGGAAAATTGGGGTTGTAATTCAGAGAGTTTTGTTTGAAATTTTTTTTTTTCTGTCTGGTTCTCTGATAATCAAACTGCTTTTTCTCACTGACTTTCAGAACTAAGTAATATGCTGAACAATATTGCTTGGACATATGAACACCAGCAACTAAAATTTTAATAACACTATTAACTATAGAAGTCTCAAGATATGCAATTACTACCCCGTCTAGCTTTCTCCTATGACATTAGGGGTATATGATTTTAATTTTCCATCTCATTACCCTTAACAGTAACTTACATCCACAATAGTATTTTCCATTATCCATACTCTTTCACTATTAGAATCATAAAAAATCTAAGTGGTAAATAAACAGTAGACAACAACTTTGATTTATCTATCTCCATAATGGAGTGCCATGTAAAACACCCAAGGCAGCTCAGATACAGAATTTGGATTTAGCCACACAAACCAGATTCTCTGAGAGACTAATTAAACTGAGCAGAACCTAGCAGCACTTACTTCTTGTTCCTGGTGCAGAAACAGCTCTGAGAGAGCTGTAATTGATAGGAGGAGTGGAGTCACCAGCTCCTGGTACAGCTGATACAGAGAAATGTAAGGCCAAGACCCCGAGGCAGGCAAAATACCTGTGCTTTTCAAAGACAACAGCTCCCGGATGCTACTGCTGCTGTGCATCACTCAGATGTACACAAGTTCTGATGCGTGACAGACTAAATTTTTGGGAACTGTGTTTCCAAAAGAATGGGAGTCAGGAACAAGTAACCTCTGCCTCTCACAGAAGCAGAGACTTATGATGCCTAGCAATATCCTGCTGCAAGAAGAGCTAGGGCTTCTCTTGACTCTTATTTCAAAGAGGAAAATCAGTTCAAACTAGGTCAGGACCCTCACTTGCAGAAGATGGATTTTACAGGAAACAGCTGTCAGCACATTCAGCCTCTAACATGAAGAGGCTCAACCACACACCCAGGATTCAAAATGAGCTGCACAGATTGTGGGCCTCAGTCTCACTTCAGACTTGCTGCATTTCTGCACTTAAAGGTGGCTACCGAGCAGCTCTGTGCAACTGAACATACTCCACTATTTTCTAGACCAGCAGGAAAAAAAAACCAACAAAAAAAAAAAAAAAAAGAACTGTAACTGTTATTCACTAATGTGTATTTTCATTTTTAAAAATACAAATGTTACCGATGGATAAGGCTAATACTATTAAAGTTAACACTGCAACAGGACAAGAGGGAATGGCTTCACACTGTCAGAGGGCAGGACTACATAACATATTAGGAATAATCTTCCCTGTGAGGGTGGTGAGGCCCTGCCACAGGCTGCCCAGAGAAGCTGTGTTTTTCCATCCCTGGAAGTGTTCAGGGCCAGGCTGGACAGGGCTTGGAGCCATCTGGTCTAGTGGAAGGTGTCCCTGCCCATGACAGAGCAGGGTGGCCTTTAAGGTCCATTCCAAACCAAACCATTCTGGTTTTCTGTGATCTTGAAGAGTTTCCACTACTAATGAGAAACCAACCAATATTCTGTAATTCAGTTCTAAGGATAACAGCCTAGATTTTAACTTAAGATACACCTACATAACTCAGGATTAACTCTCATGTATGACTGGTAGCAAGCTATATGTAGACACCACTGTATTGAGAAGAGTGTCAATCCTTCGATTTCTGAAAATGAAAGGCTATTTCACTCTTCAGAAAAACCTTCTTAAAGCCTCTGATCATTAATCAGAATTTTCTTCCTGAATCCTAAGAACAACTGAGACTTGACATCCCCCATTGTGAGACTGAACCTATGTAGTGCCACACATGACTCAGAAATGGACAACATCTCTTCAGCTGCTTTGATCCATATAAAAACTGGCAAAACCTAGGGCAGGGCACAAGAGCATGAAGGACCAGAGTAACACATGAGAGTAACTTTCTCCAAGTTATCCTGACCCAACCCCAGGCTCTGCCAGAACACAAGGAGGGAGCACTTTCTCTGAGCAGCAACCAAGTTTGATCTCCTGAAACCACAACAAAAGAATTTTGAAATCTTTAGACCAGAGACCAAATTTCTTCAGAAATATTATTTTGCACTGTAATTTCCACCTTGAAATACTTTTGAAGACACATTAAATTGCTCCGAAGTTTAGTCTGATGTAATCTGCATTCATCTTTCACCAGTTTTGAATTTTAATCTTATCAGGGGTAAGTACATAAAACAACTTACAAGCCTGTGTATGTCATTCTAATTAAATAACTTTTCACAGCAAAGCTTGTGGTGATAAAAATAACATCCCCAATTGAGTATTCTAAACACCATGAAAATAAAAGTTAATTTCTAAGAAAGATAGTTTTACCCTGGGGAGAAAAGCAATAATCAAATGCTATTCATAAATGCCTTATTGTCTGATTCCTGAAGGCAAAATTGTTTAAATTAAAATTACACTGAAAATAGATTTTTTTTTAAAAAAAAAAGCCTAATTTTTCAACACAAAAACAATGATAAAAAATTCTACTGTATATCCCTTGTCTAAAACTTTAGTTTCCATTATAAAGTAAAAGCTTGAAACCAAATCAAGAGATCAGCTGTGTTTCAGGAGGGTTGGGGGTAGGTTTTCCTGATTCTCCTGTTACCTTGAATTTCCTTTTCACTCGAACCAAATTCTCCCATCGTTACTCTTTTGCTAAGACTGCCATCTGGTGGCATTAATTCTCTTGTGCAATCATACTTTGAGTTATTGGTACAGTTTTTTCTAGCATGTAACTTGCAAAGTCAGAGAAAACTACATTAAACATCATTCTTTCAAAAATCTAACCTTCGTCATTTCAGTAAGATTTTTACCTTTCAATGGCCAGTTCTTTGTTTGAAAGTTGCTGAACTGTGATCACCACTTTCTTCTCAATTCCTTGTTTTAGCTTGAAGTACAATTTATCTCTATCCTTTGGCACAGGGCTAAAAGAATAGAAACATCCTTCAGCAGGTATAGAACATGAACTGTTAAATAAAGTGTCTACATTTTCTGAATTTTCAATTAATTCAAAATACATTTGATTTTTTTAAAAAACAACAAAAAAGAGACCACTAGACCGTATTTACTCAAAAAACTTGGTCTGATTCAAGTTTTTAACAGACTTCTTACTACCTTTTCCATTTGCACAAGCCTCCATTGAGCATCCTTAAAAGAAATGATGTAATGAAAAGAAACTCATTTGAAAAAAGGTATCCTGAATTTTAATCTTTTTACAGAAAAAATACAGGGAAGTAAACTAACATCACAAGAGCAGCTTCCTATTTATAGCATGTCGGCTCATGAAAAGAGGTCAAATGAATTTTGTTGCAACACAGTGGCTGTGCATGTGGAAAGTAGCTGTGGGCTTTTTCCAAAGAGATTTCTGCTTTTCCCTTTTCATTCTGATTACCTAAAATTTCCTTTTCCATCATCTTCTTTGACTTCTAAGGAGACACTGAAAGTGTACACATCACTATCTGGTGTGGGAAGAACAAAGTCCTTCACATGATCAGATGCTTGTTTGGAAGAACGCTTGAAAGCTGTGGAGAAACTATACAAAATTCGGCTGACCTGCAGAAAAGCAAAATCATTAATATTTTGATCAAAAATAAGAGTGTTTTTAAAGTGGCATTGTGATGTTTTTGAAGGTCAAAAAATCACTTGCCTCTTATACTGAATACAAACCATGCCTTGTGTACCATAAAGCACTGAACATCATGTGTTTAATAGCCAAGCCACTTCAGTAACATCTCCTATTTTTCCATTCCTGATACATTCCCTGCTCATGTCATGCTCCGTGAGTTAACATAAATTAGATTATAGATTAGGAATGCAGGAATGCAGGACCTAATTAGGAATTAGGTCCTTATAAGAGGACCTGCATAATGTCCTTCTCAGGTTGTGTTTTTAACAACACAATCTACAGCTTGCTCCAGCAGATGTCAAAATCCAAGGAGGTTTTTTCAGCCTCTTTTTCCACCCCAAGAAGTCCTTTTCTCCCAGACTCTCTTAGTTCTCTTAGTTCTTCCTAGAATATCTAGGGGAGGGTACCATAACATGGCTCTTTTTAATTCCAAAGGTATATATTGCAACTTTAGTATGAAACATTCCCAAGTGAGGCCTGCAAAAACCCCAAGCAAGGCTTTCCAGATCTTCCCATTACACTGCAGTTTGGAATTTTGCTGAAATACTAAAAGCAAAGACTTAAAATTATAATAATATTCATGTATGACTAGCTGCACATTCTACAAAACTCATTCATATGTGCCAACTTATTTTTCAAGACACTATATACCACTTCCACATTGGGAATGACCTGTTCAAACATTCCTTCTATCCCTCTTCCCAGTCACTGCACACTGCAGAATACTTACAGCCTCTTTAATCTCACAAGAGAAAACATGGATCTGGAACTCTTCTGTTCCACAGCTGCTCTCAGTAAATGCAAAGCAGTCACTCTCTGCAGTCCCATTTTGGCCCCGCACACAAAACAACACCTTATAGATGGGAAAGGAGGCTATCTCCAAATTGCTCAACTGATCGATTATTCTGGCAAGAAAAAGAACAGGGAAGATCAAAGGAATAGGTCAGTAAAACACCTACCTAAAAGGCTTTTCTGCAATTAGACAAACAAGGATCTAAACTCTAACTACTGCTAAATTCAAGTAGATGAGATGGGCAGCAGCAAGAGAAATGTTATGCTTTACAAATTTAAGGTGTAAATGTTCCTGGTTGTAACACTGACTTTATTTCTTTCATACACCATAATACAGACAAATAATCAGACAGTAAACAATGGCCATTGCTTATGAAAAATATGTAAGAAGAAATGTAGAAACCAAAGAAAACTATAAAAGTGTGATTTGTATACAAAGATCAAAGAAAATGCAACATTAAAAAGAAATTAAAATATCTGTTTAAGAAATCGTTATGAAAATTATTTCAGAATCAACAATATACTGGTTAGCAAACGCTGCCAACATTCAGGTGAGTATTTATCACAGATCTAGGACCACATCCCAAATTTTAAAACACTCTCACAGAACCCAAAGAATATTTCAGAAACTTAAAAGCACGAGAGTGGTGTTTCAAAAGAGACTGGTGGATAGTGACTTTTAAAGAATAACAGTGGTTCTTCTGTCTTCTCACTACTTGTTCATATGCAAATTCACATCAAGGATCAATAAACATTAGTCACCTAAAATCCCAAGTCTGTAACAATAAAAATATAGGACTAAAGGCAAGAAGACCCCTGGGAGGACTCAGTCCACTGTAATTCTGGTGGGACATGATAACTGGAATGTCACAAGACAAGTACTCAGAGACCAGGTAGGAACACACTCTTCAAAGCCAATATTAGTATCACCCAAGCTTTGATGGAATGTGTTACGTCACATGTGGATTCACCTTTCCAGTTCTGTGCAGGTTCTTAAGCAGTCCCCCATTTACTGATCTCCTCTGAAATAAAGGGTCAAAGGAACCTGCTGTTTCACTTGCAAAACAACCCTCCTGAATGGCCATACTGAGTACAAAAATCAGGCATGGAACACCTTACATCTTGTGACCGTGACTGTTGCCATTGTAGAAGTATACAAATTAAATAATTTCTAATGTCAAATGAAACTCAAATTGGGTTCAAAGAACAAAATGGAAGAAAAAAAATAGATTCTTGAAGGTCCTTCTCTTCCTCTACAAGATGATAGCCAATATATACACACAGCTTGGGCAAGGAAGGAAATCCAATCATATCCTTCAGATGCCTTGATTGCAGAGCTTAAAAATAAACATCTTGGCTATTGAGATGTTCCCTACTTCTGGATGCAAGAATGCTGCAGGTTCATGTTTAATGCACCCTGATTAAGAACCTTTGACTCCCTCATCACTAATTAAAAGACCCTTTTCATACGGGGAAAGTAAATATTTTCTAGTATCTGGAGACTGTCAGCATCTGCATCATGAGGCAGACACAGGTCAGAGATGGCTTCTGCACAGCAGCAACTGGAAGTAGAGACTGGCACCTCAACTCTGTAACATACATGGGAGAGTCTAAACTGACACTTCTGCAGCAAATCCAAGGCCAGAAGGACTCATGCAACACATGGACCTTCAAAGTGTTGATAGACTAGGGAGGTCAGGAGAGCACAGGTATTATCATCTCTCCCTTTCTAGTATCTCTCTTATTATCCTATTTGAACAGATATTAAGGTAGAAAGAGATGCTTTTGCTGACACTGTGGGGCAACTGATACCACCAGCTATGCACTGCATGGTAAATTTGAGCACACATTTTGTTGCTTCAGAGGAATTTCTCAAAATTAACTGTCTTCAGCAACAACCTCAGGCATAAATCCAGCAATTCTACTTCCCTGTGCAAGTAACAAAATCAGAAACCACTTTTTATATGTCTGCTTAAGCAACAAATGAAACTCTTGTGTGTTACCTTACAGAGCCGTCTGGAATGTTTGGAACATAGAGCGTTACAGGTAAAGGGGCCTGACTCGAGGATTTCATGTTTGCCATGGCATGTAGAGCTTCTGGTTCATTCCGTGGGGCTGACACCATTGTGCAACCCAAATAAGTCAGTTTGTTAAACAACACGCTGTCCTCTTCTGGGGGCTCACTGGGAGAAGATGGCCTTGGTGCAGAGATTTCTGAAAAAAGAAAACACTTCTTTAGGCATTTGCTTTTACTCTTACATGGTTTTTCCTTCCAATGAGTTCCACAGCAAAACCTCCTATATTTTCCAGGGATGGACATGAGACTAGACAGTTCAGCTCCAACAGCAAGAAATTCATTTGACAACTTAATATTACTGTGAAGTCTGTTCTAATCTAATTCATGTTTCCAAGGGTGGCATGGGGACAAACTGCATTTTGGTTCTCTTTAGCACTACTGGAATACAACAAGGACATTCTAAGTCTTTCTAAGCAGTCACATAATCACAGAACATTAAGAGGTTGGAATGGACCTTGAAGATCACCTAGTCCCAACCCTTCTGTGTGCTCTGTTACTCCTGTTTTTAATTACTATAGCTGATACTGCCAAAATACTTAGAACCATGAAGGCTGTAAAACGGAATTATTCCTGTTGGGGCTGGAGTGGGGTGAAAGACATCTACAAGTATTTCTTTGTTCATTCATGCAAAGGGTTGGGCTCTGTTTGAAGAATGTGAAACAAGAAGACAGTAAGGTAAGTTTCTCAAAAATATAGCAGACTTGTAATTAAGAGATGGGTGTTTCCATTTCATATAGACTATCTTATTCTACCACAGGAACATATTTATTTTATTTCCAACAGATGCTATGGGAATTGGCTGACAAAATGCCACAGAAGTGCCCTGCATGCTATTGAGATAAAAAGAATTATAGTTCAAGGCACAAAAAGATGACCACAGCATTGTATTCATAATATATGTAACAGAACACATATATTTTTTATTGCAGATTTTATATGCGTCTCTAAAAAGCTACAATATATTTTACTTAAAATATATACAATATAGTTTAGATTAAAAGCTTTTAGTCCTCCCCTTTTAATGAAAACTTCAAACACCAGGCAAGTACCAAAATCATTCCTAGCAGATATCAAATCCTAAGATAGTCTTACTGCTACCTGGTGACAGCATCGGAGATGGACAGTTTAATCAGTTTATTCAGGGTGTATTTCATTTGCAGGTAGCACCATCAATGAACACTGCCCTGAAACTTCTTGAGTTCCAGCAGCAGCAGATCCACGTCAGCTATCATCCACTCCGCAACTCATACAATCCTTAGTCCCAACTAATCCTTGGCTGAAGACAAAATGAACATTATCTTGACCAAAGCAGAGAAGCTCAAAGTATCTGATGACAATCTATTCTTAGCTATAATCTTCAACAAATAATAAGAGGGAGGCCTCCAACACAGTTTTGGAATGAAAAAGCTTCTGGAAAGCTTTATATTTATTATAGGGTTAATTTGAAACTGCATAAAGAAAAAACCTGCCATGTGTAATGAACAGGGAAAACACTCAGGCTTTCTACTACTACCTGTAGTAGAAGGGTCTAAAACAAGCTGCAAAGATGGCTGAGTTGTTTGTCCTGCTGACCCCTCCACAGCTGTCTGGCCACTGGCATCACTGAAACCTTCTGGGAGTGCAGTGACATACTGGTCTTTCTCAGAATCACGCAGTATCTCTTCCATTGCCTTCTCCAACTCCTCATCTCCATTTGAAAATACCTGTAAGCAGAAGGAGATGGTATCTTTTGAAGGTATTTGTGGTTTTACTTTCGTTATTAGTTTACAAACACATAGTCTTACTAATTGCAAAAGTTAAGAAACTTTGCTGAACAAGACAACAAACCAAGACTCAAAAAAAATGAATCAAATATAATCCAGTGTAACATCCCCTTACATAAAATGCACATGTTGTCATTGCTAATCCAAAAACCATCCATCAAAAAACTACAGACTTTTCTTAGAATAATAGGTTTGTGTATTTAGAACCTCCATTCAGACTAGAGATCAAAAGACTTTGTTATAATTAGTCTTAAAGAAAATTTTACTTTCTTAGTCATATCCAGTACATTTCAGTTGCTTCACCAATTTTCCCACACATTAGAGTGGTGCAAGCCTAAGGAAATGAAAAAAAAAATTGGAGATACACACTCCCTAAAAGAAAAATAGTAACTTTCACAAGTACCAGCTTTTCAGACAAAAGAAAACCATGGCCAAAGCTGCATCATAGATTCTGCTGCCATTTCACCAGCCCCTTTCCAGACTAAAGAAGCAGATAATGTCTAATACAGACAGAAATTATCAGCTGTAAATAACTGCCAAAGAGTACTGCAAAGCCAGACTAGGCCATTTCAGGGGGGAACAAATTCCTATAGTTCCAAGCAGACCAAAGCCAATACATCAGCTACTACAGCTCAAATGGCGAAATTTGTATTTAATTAATCAGCTGTCACCCAAGTGCTAAAATATTCTGCTATTCAGAGGTAGAAAGCTTTTAAAAAAAGTCTTACTCATGCTTAAAGTAGCACTAAGCAGGAAAACTAAATTAGAAACTACAGTCCAAGACACTGTGCAATCGATTCCTATACATTCTAATTACATGCTTTTAAGATAACAGTCTCTGATCCCTCAATGAAGAATATTAAGCTTTAAATCAAACCTCATTCTTTGCAAAGTCCTTTACTAATGTATAGATCCACAGAATAAAACAAAGCTAACCCCCAAAGAAGTTATTAAAAAAAACCCTGAACTGCCACTTTTGGATAGATTTGTTTAATCCAAGCTGTTAATTTCACTGGCAGACAGCAAAGATAAAAACTACAGCTTAAGACTCTCCTCAAGCATGCACCAATTATGCACTCTTTTCATCAATACAAACCGTGCTGCACATTTAAAAGTAAAGGCATAGCAAACCTTTAGCTGTGGCTTTTCATCATTTCCAGAGGCATCCTCAGATTTCTGATGAACCAAGACAAACTCTTCATTAATTAATGTGGATACGGTTTCAGGAATCCTGCTGGGTTTGCTAAATGATGTTTTGACTTCCATCTCAGGTCAGTATTCTCCTCCTGCCACCAGAACCAAATAACGAAAAAAGAAAAAGAAAATTAGTTTAGAAGCTGTATACACTATGTTAAATACGTATAATATTAAGTTAGTATTGAATAATATAATACTTTAAATTATACTACTGTATTATAATGTATTTATCAAACTCTGGTTTCATTAATATAAGGAATCTTACGATTTTAGGTTGGTGTTTAAAAATACTACGATTTAACAGCAGCACCTGTTATCTATGCATATAGATAACAGATGAAGAGGTTCACCCCAGAGCTTTGACTTTCACTGCTTTTAATCTCAGAGTAAATTTATTTAAGGTAGGGTCTGCTTCCTCTGCCTCCCTAATTTGTGCCCTTGGTTCTCCCTCATACAGGTATTTTCCTTACCCAGAATGTCACAAAGGTCATGTGAAGATACAGATTACCTGAAGACTAATTTCCCAAAACCTACATACCAAGTGTATGCTCTCCACATAAAAACAATATTTAGCAATCTACATTTAGAATGTTAGGAGCTTTTGTTATCTTTTATATCTATAAGTGATGAACTCAAAAGTGACACTAAACCACAATCAGATCCTTTTCACCTTATTTCCCAGATACCACCCACACTAGTTAAAATTAACCACATATTTAAAAATATATAAACACAAGCCACAAAGAAACTACAAATATTATGGCAACCAAGAACAAGTTTTCCCATGTCTGCACAAGAAAAAAAATAAATCTAGAAACAAAGAAAAAGGGCAAAATAATGGTCAGCCTATACCTTACAAGTTCATATAAAAATACTGAGCTGAAACATTCAAGAGCTGAAACATTCCAAGCATGCCAGCATGAGGACACCTATTGTAGGTATCTACCAAATAAAGATAGAATGACCTACATTAACTCAGAATGAGTCTTCCCTCCTTCCTTGGAGAATGAAGAGCTGAATCTTACACCTTCTGTATTTTAAAATCATCTATTTTTATATTTTCTGTGTCAAAGAAGGGAAAACATATTTTCAGACTTTATAAACTTTATAAAGATCATGCACTTCTACATATGGTGTACTTCCATTCCAATTTCCTGAAAAATACTGCTCTGGCTGAGAGCTGGGATATAATGTGCTTAAGACTCAGAGTTCAGGTGTGTCACAGACAGCACAGGGGGAAAAACCTGTGACTGTCACCTTTGCAAGGCTGGAAAGTGCCCAAGGAGGGACAGCTCAACCCACATCTGCTGTGACCAGGAACAAGAAGAGATTAAGCTTCACCCTGCCCTTCCCAGCAGCACCAAAAAGCAGATCTGTGCTACACTTGCTTCTCTTCCAATTTCAACCACCCAGTGATCAAGAGAAGAATGTTGACTTAGGTCTAGCTATAGGGAACCAGAAAAACAGCACACAAAAGAACTAAGACATGCATGTTCTCCACCATTTCAAACAGGTGTTAGTTATGATGTTAGAGGGAAGAGAAAGTTTTGCAATTTCAAGCCAAAAAAAAAAGCAAATGTGGGAACTAGACAACTTTCAATACTGTAGTCTTTTCTATAATTTTTGAAACTACAGTCAATATGTTTTGCACTTTCAAAGACCTGGCTTGGCATAACTTACATGCAACTCCTCAAAAAGCCTCTCCCTCTCCCTAACCAAGCCACCAACCTAGGTGTTGGTAAAACCAAGCTTTACCCATCAGCCTAGTGAGGGTATTATATGTAGGAATTCCAGAAAAAAGAATTCAAGCTCTTTAGACAACTGACTTGTACAGCATAAAACTCATTAGAAATCACCTTATAAAAAAAGCCTCTACACAACAGCTGTAATATTTAGAGAGTGGCTAGAAATTTGGATGAGCAATTTCACTCATTCTGACACCTTTTGTATCTCCAGACCAACCATGAACTCACAAGCAAGAGTATTTTCCTGACAAATAAAGTAAGCTGAGTTCCACCCAGCCTACATAATGGACTCACTGCTGCAATAGGTTTTATTTCTATTTTTTAAAAAGCATCTTTGCTTTAAAGATTTTCTTGGCAAGAGAAAGCCAAGGTTTTACCAGGCAAGAGTTTAAGTATGTTACAAAACGTTTATTAACTCCGTGTATTTTTTAACAAGTGGTGTAAAAACAGTGCTGAAGAGCTTGTTGCAATAAACAGCAAGTCTAGTTCAAAATACTAATTTCAAAGTAAATCCTCTATATGAAAGTAAAGGTTAACAATTACAGAACTCTTTGAAGGCAATGAAAGGCTGTAAGTTATGGTCCCCAAATACAGCATATCCTGAAGAATCATTATCTTTGCAGTGACATCAGCACTGAAGAAAACAGTAGAGGTGACTGTCAGCCACATCAGGAGCAAAGGTCCTGGCTGTCAGAGGCCCCTCTTCCTCCCACTCTACCTCTCTTATTGCTGGACCCGATGATGACAAAAATGAAGCCTCAACCACCACTTCCAGCATATCTGCACAAAGAGGGATCACAAGACATCCTATTTTGACAGTTTTTTGTGTTTTAGTCTATTTAAGTTTAATTTTTGAGCTTACTTATAGGAAAGTAACACAGAAACTCCAAAGTAAGATGGTCCTACTTTATTTATCATCCAAGTCAAATAGAGATTGCTAACATTAGGTTATCACCAGTTATTCTTTCTGCAAGGAAGTAAGAGCCAAGAGGCACCATATGAACTATGAAATGTTTTCTGTAGCAGGATTTCAACAATAAAACGAGGGAAAATGTACCATTTGAAAAGCCAAAGAAAATTAGGATCATGCAAATACAGCAGCATATTGACACACTAAATACATATTCTTCCCCCACATGGGTAAAGGGAGCTTAAGAGAATTTCTACTTCCTAAACATTAACCCAAAAGTAAAGAAAAAATTATAAACATGAGATGATTGTGAGGAGCTCCTTATTCAGGTCAGATTCCTTCAAATCATGCCACACACATTCTTGCAACTACTTTTGAGTTACAAGGCCTTTAATGTGTTTAAGAGTGTACTCCAAGCTTGCCTTTACAACCAGCTCAAACCACCAGTGCAGACACACACCTTTTTCTATACATAACTATATTACCTGGATAAATTAGCACTCCAGAGCCCCTAATTCCAGCCCTTCATTACAGACTAATCCAACCTACTGTCAGTCTTCCCCTTTCCCACTGCAGTACAAACAAAGCCATTTTAGCTTCAGTTTGGCAATAAAACACAAACACAAGCAGATCAGGCATTCAGGAAAATCTTTATACACCATATTTTATGATCAGTCTTTGACCAAAAATGCCAGAGACAAACTAAGCACCAAAAATCAGGAACAAGTCATTTCTTCAAACAAAACAATTTAAACTCTGATATGAACTTTACTCAAGAGTATAGCTGTGATTGTCATGAAGATTACTGAGATTTACACCACCTTAAGTAGTAAGCTACCTAAAGAGAAAAAATTTGTGTTTTCATTATAAAGACACATGACCTAATGCTTCAGTTAAGTGCTTTTGAGGAAAAGCAGTAAAAATAATAAAAACCTCTCTAAAAGAATCATGCATTAATGTTATTTGAGGAAGGGAAAAACATCTGAAGAAGTTTTTTTATTCTTTAGTGACAAAAAGAGAAACACACGTGTTCTGGACTTTCCAGTCACCTGCAGTCAGTGGATGGTCACTCTCATTTCCCTTGTGTCACTGGCTCTAGTCCTCTTTTTACTCATTACCAAATTATGCACTTCAAACCTCCCTTTTCCTACAAATGTAAAGAAAAAATTACAGTTGACCTACTACACATGAACAAAATCTAGGAACAGAATCCTACTACTAAATTCAAGCATCTCATTTTTTAAATTGTCCTTTTTTATGAAAAGTTTCAAGTTAAGAATGTAAGAATTTATTGCTGATTGCATTAGTCAGAACATACAGACAGTTGTTCAGTCCACAATCACATCAGGTTTACTCCCTGATGACCTCAACAGCTGAATGCTGGCTCAGGATCCTAAGGAATGAGGTTTAGCATTTGCTTTACCAGTTTAAATCTGGGAGGGCAGCAACCAGCAGCGAGGAGCTGGCAGTCAGGGACAGCAAAGAGAAAATCCAATGCACTTCAGCTGCCTCAGCTCCAAGTCCAGTTCCTTAGTTTAAACTGCTGGTGGAGTTCAGTTCCAAATGAAAAAATAAGCTCTCTGTTCTGCCAAAGCTGATCCAAAGATTGAAACCTTAGATCAGATGGTTCCTTCCCAAATCCTCAGTGCCAGGAGTTAGAGCAGCTTCTCCAACAATACCTTCCAAAAGATGACAACAAAATCTGATGTCAAAGTTCTCTTCACAGTAGGGAACACTGGGAAGTGTGTACTGCTACTGTGAAGAAGTCATTGCTACAGGAGCTACATTGAACAGTTGTGCTCATTCCTATAGAGAAGGTATTGTCCCCCCATACTTGGTGAGCAGTATCACACACACACACAAAGTCAGGAACAAACACACGGGAGGAAATTACTCAGAAAACCTACTTGATGAAATAATTATTTTTTTTTAAATAAGACTTTCAGAAAAGGTCTTCTGTCAGATTTTAAGACCAAAGAACTTTTGAGATAAAAAGAAATTATTCAGACATAGTTTTAAGAGAGAGTGTGTATGGAGGTGTGGTATGGTGTGTGGATCTTGCTCCAAAATATATTTTAAGCCACAGGGACAACAAAAGGACTGCAAAACAAATGTTGCTTTTCTTGTGAGCTTTATTATGTAGATTTGGTCAAGCCAGACCTCTCTGATTTACATCAGTGTTTTGCTTATACAAAGTCCTGGATAAAAGGTAACTAAGCCATACTACTTGGACAGTTTTGGGACCAGTGATCAGAACTTACCTTCACATATGTACAGTACTAAGCTGTGGAAGGCTCAAACCCAGCAGCTTCATTCCAGAGAGGCATCCCAAGTTCACTACAGCTGCCTTTGTAAAGTAGCCTAAGTGATTAAAGAGCAAGAGAAGGTGAAGAACAGGGATTCTAGAAAATCCAGGGGGATTCAGCACTGAATT